CACACACACACACACACACACACACACACACACACAGACACACACACACAGACTGCTTTGTGGATGAGCCGTTAATTTAATGTAATGGGTGGTTGGCGGGTGCATGGTGTGGTTTGCTTCTCCTTTCCTATAAAACATCTATCGTCCTTGTCTCCCCTTCTAGCGTGCTATTATTTCAACAGTGTTACGTTTGTTACTCCCTCTACTAAAACTAAACTAATTTTTATGTAGGTGTTTTGGCGCCCTCATTGACACGATTTGGGGGAAGGAACGAACCACACTGGAACCCACGCCAACCACCCAAGTCTTAGTCTATGTTTGGGTCATGAGGGTGGCATTCCGTTCCTTAACTTCAGGAGTATTTGACCTCTTTCTTATTTAGGCAACTTGTTCTTCTTCGGAGATGTTGATCCTGCTTGTTATGTCGCCTTACAGAGTTTTGAAGAGCTGTGGTCAATGCCAGCACGCTGAGAACATTTCGGAATGTTAAAGCGTCCGTATCGACGTCTGTGGTGTAGCGGTTTGGCGTTTCCTTGTCGCACGCAGGAGGCCTGAGTTCGATTTAGTCAGAGCACACCGTTTTATGTTACTGTTGTACGTTGTACTGTATTGTAAAGAGCTCAGAGCCAGTGTACTTTAATCGGGGTTGAGAGCTATATAAATGCCATTTGTTATTATTATTATTATTATTCTGAGTGAGGAGAATGTTTATCGAGTATCTCGATCTTCCTGCTGTGATGCTGTATCCCTCTCAGCTTGGGTTGGACGTGACAGGCAGGGTCGGAAGCCCGACTTCTAAATGATCTAATTTGTGTCAATGGGTGCGTAAAAAACACAGACTTTAACATTTTAAGAAGCATTTGTCGGGGTATTCTCTTTCGGAACAAATTCTCTTGACGACCCAAATGTGGTCCCACTGAGAGTGGAGACTTCGGACATGCATAGCTGATCCAAAGAAAGTTATGAATGAAGGGCTCAAGGTTACTCTTATCCCCCACCCCTCTTTTTTAATGAGTGGTTTTGTTTGTTTAATTATAGTTTTTGTTTTGGTTTTTGTTTTGTTGGTAGGTGTTTTACAGCACTCGCAACTGCATAAGGTCATAGGGCGCTGGACACATTTAACATTTTCAGTTTGTAGGAAATTTTTGAATTTTGCCCGGATGGCGGCGGAGCCTACTCTTATCGATTTTTGACCACCATAGGATCTTTAACGTGCCCAACTTGCACTCGTGACCTCCGATATTTTTCATCCTTCGAGAAGGCTAGGTATTGATCTTACCTACCAGAAGATCAGGGATGTGGCTGAAAGACAGCAGTAAGAAGAAGTCGGGAGTAGCAGTAGGAAGTAGGAAGGCAGCAGAAAGAGTCAGGAGCCCAGAGGAGGGGACAAAGGAGATGAGGGGGTGGGGGCAGAAAGTGGAGACGAAAGCAGACGACAGAACATGGTGGTTAAAGGGCATGAAAAGATGTGAAAGGAAAAAAGTTTAGAGAAGAAACTTTTCCATCGCTATCTGGATTCGAAACCGGAACCTATTGAATGAAAGGCGAACACCGTAACCTGTAGACCATGGGAGCTCCCAAGTGGGTGATTGATGGGTGCTCCTGTATGTTTGCTTCTTCTTTCCTCTCCAACATCAATCGTCCTTATCTGTTCTTCTTCTTTTTTGTGCTTTGTTACTAGATACTCTCTTGTAACATCTCTAATCTTCGGCTCTTATTTTGATGATGCATGTGCTATAAAACGCTAAGTAAACCCCAAAATAGTTATTAAAAAATGTTTACTGTTTCCCGCTCGCTCATATGACCTTAGCTTCTATGCAGTTACAAGCGCTGCACAACACTCCCCCCCCAAAAAAACCCCACAACAAACGAATAAATAAAAATAAAACCCCCCAAAAAAAAAAAAACCCAAAAATAAAAAGCCAAAACAAAACAAAAAACAAACAAACGAAAAACAAACAAAAAATTGATCGTTTCCTCTCATGTGACTGTCCAGGTGAAGTACTTGGGCCGGGCCCGGGTGCACAGCAAGCGCGTGACGGCGGACTACATCGACAGCCTGGCGGAGAAGATGATCGCCCGGGAGGAGGACCAGATGATGAGGAAGCTGGAGGAGCAGGAGCTGATGGAGAAGCGGCGACGCCACGCCAGCCTGCCCGACACGCTCGACTCGCCCGCCGT